GTTTAGAATGGGAAAGTAGTGCTGTGATCCGATACTGACTTTGTGTTTTCATTTTAAACTTTTCCTTTATTTTTAGTTTAGCTTTGTTAGTTTAATCTAACTAAACATCTTTTTTTGGAAAAACAAAACAAAACAAAAAAAAAAAGCCTTAGTTTTTTTTTCACACTATCCATGAAACCCATGAAGGCAGGAACCGCTTATCTTTTTCAGGACATTTAAAAAAAATTTAAGTTTTTTTTTTTTCCCTCCTACAATGTTTTGACCATCCTCTTTCCTCTCCTCCAACTCTCCCCAGATCCTATCCCACCCACCAAAAAGACACACAAAGCAAATGGAGTCTGTTTTAAAAGCTGGCCAGCTATTCCTGTGCTTGAAGCCTGCCCTGCAATTTCCCAATATTTTTCACACCTGCTATATGTCATTAGTTACGACACTGCGCACGTGTGCCCCCCCACACTCTGATAGGGTGCCCTAAACGGTATACGGTAAGATGCATGGAAATAAGTTATGAAAATCTAAATTGGCTTGGGGGAGATTTCCTATTCTGCAGCAGGAGGTAAAATCCTTTTAAGGTTCAAGAAAACAAAACCACATGGACATCACAAGGTAAGAGATCACTAAACAATACCTAACTTCCCAGTCCAGCCATTTCTATTACACTATTGAGATGGCTTAGCAGCTCACAGAAGAATAATAACTAGACAAGATTTAGACAGTTACAAAATGGAATGTGGGGATTCATTTGAACCCCATCTTCCATTAATATAAGGAAGAGCTGTAGGAAATTCTGAAGTTAGTTGTGTTCCAAGTAGCTCAAACAAGTTTTTAAGGTGATTAACTTATAAATTTAGGAAGGTACCCTGAGTCATAGGTAGATACAGACCACCAAAGATATTCAGAGGTCTAGTCGGATCAGTGTAACTTAGATAAGTACAACACTATCAGTTGTACTTACCCATGTTTTTAACATGCTGATAAAAGTCTGCAACAGAACTTTTCAAAAGAGTCCCAAACCAAGAATGTACTGGCATTTGTTAACATTTTCCAAGGGAGTGAGACCCGAAATCAAGATTTACATTCCTCTCTTTGGGCTTTTCTTCAAGAAAATCAAATTACAAATGGCTTCCCAGCAACCACTCAAAGGCTAATCTGCACCAGCGCCACTATTTCTCACTCCCATCTGATGAATGTAACCCTCCCCTCCACGATTACAAATTAACCAGCCAGCATTCTGAGTTCCACAGCAGCTCTAGCGGGAAGAGACTGAAAGCTGTGCGCAGTTCTTGAAGGCTCACCTCTAAACCAGTGATTGAAAACTGGGGCTGGACGCTAGGTATAGGCCAAACAGGAATTTGATTTGGTTTGCACAGTTAGGATGATTAGGAGGAGGAGGAGGAAGAAGGAGAAAAAGAGGAAGAGAGGAAGAGGACTACTACCCTCTTAAAAAAATGTGGAATATTTCTTTGTTAAAAATATGTTTTCCAGCTTCTCTCGAATAAACATCTGGCGATATTGGATCTGAACTGTAATATGGTAAAAGCTGACCAGAGATAAGAAACCATATTCCCATTTACCTGGGACATTTGCTGTGGAGGCCACATATCAACTGCCCTTTATCATTTTCCATGCATACTTGGTGGATGAGTGCATATTCTTTAAAAAGTATGATCCACTCTTCTCTTTACAGCAGTAACAAAGCCAGAATCAAAGAAATCAATTTACCTTAATCTGAGTCTGTTCGATTGACTTTTCCCATATCTGCTGATCATATGCTCCAATCTGAAATAAGGAGCAGGCTATTTACATGGTGCAAAGGCAATCTTTGTATCTAAGTCAAACCTCAGAGTCATGACTCTATTAAATATGCTTGTCTGAAAAATATGTTTCCCACATAGCAAATTCATACTTCCAAGGGCTGTTTCCAAAAAAACAAAAACAAAATAAAACAAAACAAAACCAAGGACAGGATCTGCAAAGTAAAAAGGCAACACCCCAAATATCTTAAAGCTCATCTAAAAGACATCCCCACTCCTTAAGGAAGACATCAATAGGAATATCAGAGAGGAGGAAGACGTAGGGACAGCTCAATCAGACGACAGTAGCAATCTGAGCCATGCAGATAAGAATTTCATTTTTGTCTTTATAAAAATAATTTTAAGCTTGATAATTTGTAAAGCAAAGCACTGCATGGTAGTCTGTGTACGCAGCCCGCAGAAAGGTGGCTTACAGCTCATATCCTGGAACCTTAAACTAGGTTTTTAATGACTTTGCACATCAATTTTTTTCAGTATGTTGAGATATTATATAAGAATATGTGACATTATCAAACTTAAGGAAAGTAACTCTAGTCTTTACGGGAGTTTTTCTGCAGAAGTATGGTTTTCAAATAAAATTACTGCTGTTACCTTCTTCTGTTACCACGATATGGCATCTCTCTCATTTGAGGCCATCTGTGTCTCCAGCGAGAGAGTACGATTTCACTGAAAACGAAGGAAATGTGTCAGTAAGTCCAGTTGTTGAAGGTTATTGTCCCGTTTGGGGTACGGCTTAAAAGCCGTTTCTCTCAGCCTCTCCATGAGCTGCTCTTTCTCTGCCTGTCTGCCGGGAAGAAAAAGAAGAGGAGGGGGGGGGGGGAATGGGCGCAGAGGCGACCGAGAAGCCTCTGCACCCTCCGGTGCAAGTGTGGACGCGGGGACAGCAAGTACCCCCCCCCCCGCGCCCTCCGCCTTCCCGCACCGGCTCACCTGGTGCCCGCTGCCTGGCAGGCTGCCGGCCGGGCCCCCGCTCCTCAGTGACCCCGGCCGGGCCGGGAGGCCGGGGGCGAGGCGGCGGGCCCGGCAGGCCGCATCTTCCCCCAGAGGCCCGGACACCGGCGGGGCCGTCACCATGGAGACCGCGGCGGCCAGCCCAGCCCGAGGCAGCCGGCAGCCCAGCGCTCCGAGGCGCGCAGCCTGCAGCCACAGACGCCCGACCTAGGTGGCCGCCGAACGGGCCATGGGAGAAACCGGGAAGCGAGTGGAAAATGAGGGGAAGGGAACGGGAAGGGTGTCTTCTCCAGCCGCTTCGGCACCGCAAGGGCTGGAAGCCAGCAGCCAGCCCCGGGCCGGAGCGGCGGCGCGCGTCGTCCGCCAGGGACTGCGGCTCGACGAGCTCCGGGTGTGAGCAGCCGCTTCCGCCTTCCGGCTCCGCCCCCGGCCGCCTTCCCGCCGCTTAGGCGGCTCTGAGGTGGTGGCCGCCGGCCGCGCCGCCAGTAACCCTAGACGCTTAACGGAAAATCACCTCAGAAACAGCCCTCCCAGCACCCATCGATCCCTGGGAGGCTGGTCCGATATTCCAGAGGCTCCTGTGCGGGTCTGCAGCGTTTAGCGTGGTGTCTACTTTATATCTGCGTCCCCGGGGTGGACGAAGTCAGAAACGGGGGTGGGGAGGGGTCCCGGGCCCTCCGAGCCCTCCGCACGGCTTCTCCGTTCTTGCTGATGGGCAAATGTTTGTGCCTTGGCGCGGCCTAGAACGCGGACGTCGGGCTGGGGCTCAGCGAGTCCCTCCCTCGGCTCTCAGCCGCTCTGGGACTTGGGCTTTCTGGTGCGCACACAAGCCTAGGGGAGAAGGAAAGCACAGGGCTCGAACCGCCCTGGGACAGTCCCCAAATCGGAGAAAATGGCTGTAGAGGCTGTTTTTAGTGTTTGAAGCAGGTCACGAGAAAGGGCAGTTGCACTCTGATGTGAATAACGGGGTTTCTAAGCAGCGCTCCTCTTTTCTGTACCTTTTGTGCACCATTAACGGCTTATTCCCGAGGGCCACTGTCTTCAACTCACTGCAGTCTGTATCCTTTCTTGCCAGGGGCACAAAGCATTTAGGTGCGGTGAGGCTAATAACAGGTAACAGCTATCACTTGAGACCCTCACTTCAGTCTGTATCCTTTCTTGCCATGGGCACAAAGCATTTAGGTGCGGTAAGGCTAATAACAGATAACAGCTATCACTTGAGACTGATAAGAGGCAGCCGCCAACCTATAGGCATTCTTATAAACCATTAAAACAGTTTCGAATGAAAGTTTTCCATAATGCAAACCTACTAAAAAGTAACACCCCTAGGAATAATTTTTAAAAATTACTTCACCATTGGTAGTGGTCTCCAGTTTTTACCCCCTAACTGTTAAGGGGTAAACTAAAAGCTGCTAAGCCTCTTCAGTACTGCTGAACATTGTAATTCAAGGCAGCAACCAACTAATTGGTAAATGAAAAAAAAAAAGTTTAAGACCTAAATCAACACTGTATTAGTATATTAGTATTGACTCCTTTGCTGAACACACAAAGGCGGTTTTCTGGGCCGTGGGCAGTGCGCTGGGAAATAGAAATGGTAGTAGAGTAGCAAATCACTTTCCAGGAGCTCTGTTAAAAGTGTTTTATTAGATGCTGCTGTGTAAGGCAGAACTTTGAACCCAAAACCACATTCAACGCCCTGCTCCCAATAATGAACTCCCGGTGACTTTAGGAAACTGATTCTCCCCTGTGTTGTCGAGATAATTACCTCCTCCTACTGAGCGTGGCAACCACAGGTGAGATACCCCGAGATGAGGCGCCTTCTGCGAACCAAGTGCTGTGAGAGTAAGCACCTCAACTAGAGTTCACCCAAAACTTCATGAGGAAAAGCACCCACTTTGTGGTGTCCCGCAGCCGACACACATCTGAAAACCAAACACCACCTTCTTCATCATGCCATGCGTTTCCAAGAATCCCTACAGTGCCACAAGAAAAGCTTACGGCAGTTCTAAACACACGTGAATGTTTTAAGCTGCAGTAAGGATAACTATCACAATTGCAAGCTTCCCTTTTCTTCAAAACTAGTTGCACCTCAATCTGGATTCTCTGACCTTTTCTTTGGGAAAGGAGAGCTCAAGGTTGTCTTCAAAAGCTTAAAACTAATCGGGCACAAAGGAGGAGGTAGGAGAGGGGCAGTGAGAAGGCCCAGGTGCTATTCACTCTGTGATGAGACATCAGTAAAGGACAAATCAGACTTTGTTTATTAAAAAAATACTTTACAGGAAAAAAAAACCTATGCATTCCATTGTCCTATTTTACAAAGAAATAGCTTAACAATTTAACACACTTAGACAGCTACAAAAAAAGCACTGTGTTAAAAGGATTATTATTCACACAAATTTAGATTTAAGACTATTCATTAAAAACCTTTTAAAACACTTGTTAATGTCAATAAACAAACTAAGGCCACACAAACGCAAATAGTCCGCCAGGCAAATTATACATTTCATCTATATGCAAAGACCTCTTAGATAAATTAAAGCCACAGGAAAATAAAAAGTCTTAGCTGCCAATCAAAATGAAGTTTAGTCACAGAAAACACTATTCCATGAAAATTTACATGTGATAGAAGTAGTACATAAGTATTTCTTTAGAGAGAATTGAAAAGTGCTATATTTTAAGAGACAATGGTCTCAACTACATGCACGAGTGGATCCTAAAAAATTTATGAAGATTTTTAAAATGGAAGGCCATTAATATTTATGGATACTTGCTTTTAAAGCCTCTGGGCTGAGGATAAGTCCTCTATGCACTTAGAAAACACTGGTGGTGTGCATCTCCTCTACTTGCATGACCAGTAAATACAGCTACAGACTGCCTTGAAAACATGACACTTAGCACAAATGTGAGCCTCTGGCATGTGCTACTTACTGAAAGGATGAAACAGACTTATTAGAAAGACACAAACTCAGTAATCCTAATGGTCCTCAATAAATACAAATAAATTTTAAAGGCAAATACAGATGGAAATATAATGGACTAATATTTATGACAAAGAACATACTCACTAGGAATATATTTTCATGGATTTTGGACTCCTAGATTAACTCTCCTTCTAGACAATATTTATACAGGGAAAAGCAATATGCAAAAGTTTCTCAAGTCATTAGGTGAGATCTTTATGCCTGTTAAGACTGATACATCTTTTCCTAAAGTTTAGAAAACGATTTAATAAGCTCCTTTCCCCATACAAGAGCTTGTAATATTAGTGAACTTAGAGTTCAACTGATTGAGGGGATAGGGCACTTTCTAAAAGTCTTTAAGTAAAAATAATGTATCAGCAAAACTTTTAAGTACTGAATAAGAAAGTACAATTAAGCCTAAGAATTCATTTTCAACAGTTAAACTTTGGAAGAGGGAACCAATATGGAGGTTATTATTATTGCTTCATGAATTTGGGACACCTCTCAGAATTGTAACCCTAACTCCTAACCTATCTTGATAAGTATAGAATGAGCTCTTGGGAAGGGGAAGACGTTAGTGCTTTTCAATGGTTACCATAAAATCATTATATTTGCTGTTAGGAACATTTGTTTATTAGGTCCTTTCCATAAACATATTTTAAATATCCCTCTGATCCACAAAGTACTAAAACACATAGCCACATTCTGCAAGTAATCTCAAGGGTTGGCACAACAGATAACACACCAGAAAGGAAGATCAGCTTCACTTTCAGTTACAACTTCACTGCCATAGCTACCTTACAAATCAGAGGATGCCAGACTGCTCCATGCCTCACTTCACCAAACCAAATAGTTTAATGATTTAGAAAAGTTGTGATCATTTGTATCGCTCAACTAGGACAGCTTTGAAAGCAGCAAGAAACTCAAAACTTCTGCTTTTATATTCATCAGTCTTTAAAGCATGCTATCAAAATCTAATACTCACATAGGACATTCAGAGTTTCCAGATACATTACTAGCTAAATGTTTCTTTCCATTCTATTGCAATCTAATATACAATGACTTCATCAGTACATGATTTTCAACATTTTTATATTCTTTTAATATGTTTATACTGGAGGTGAGGGTAGACTGTTCTGCAAAAAGGGAAATGGAGATTTGCGTTTGATTGTAGGTCTTTGCAGATCCGCTGGTTCCTGAGTGATTACACACAGTGCTGGCTGTCAGGAGACAGTCTCCTTGTTTTTAGTAGTGACCAGCTTAGATGACAGATGGCATCTGCTGGATGGCAAGTGGGAGATGGGGAAATCGGATCTTGGAAGACAAGAAAAACAAAAATAAAACTTTTTGCGTTAACAACTTTTTCTCTTCGTGATTATTTTTAAAAGCAATGTTGCCTGAGAAGAATTTTTCTTTGCACAGCCTGGTAAAGCTCTATGAAATTCTTCTGGACAGAAAATAGAAATAAGAAATAACCCAAACCCATTCATTTTGTGATAAACCCCTTCTCCACAAAGTAACAACAACAAAAAAATACCCTCAAAGGTTCCTTAAAAACTAGTTTGATAAACTAGAATTTATACACAGGATTTAAAAACACCCCTGTAATAATCACATTACCTTTCATACCATTCTAATTACCTTATTTACAAAGATAACTAAAAGCAACATCACTTCCAATTCATAAATGGTTTACATTGAAGTGTTTCCCTATTTATTTGTCTTCATCCTTTGTAACAGAGAATACATACATATACATATATATAAGGAATAATACAGATTCTAACTAATCACTGTAGTATTTGCTGATGGTTACTTTTCTATCGGTTTACACAGTGACCTCTATACTTTGCTAATATGCATTTAACTACACAACAATATTGCACAAAGTAATATTTATATAAGATTTAACCTATTTCAGAATATTTTAGAGAAAATTCATATTTGATATTTGCAAAGATGCAGCTAAGTTCCATGGTGACAGACATAATAAAGCAGCATCTCTTTCTTTTGCCTATGTTAATGCAAATATTTCAAATCTCACCATCCAGGAAAAAAAAATCAAATTGCACTGTAACCAGGTAGATACAAGAATCTGGTCTTAGGTGTGGGGAGTACTCTTCCTTTAGTAAACAAAAGGCCTACTGAGTTACTAACTAAGAGAAAGTAGAATGCATAGCACATGAACATTCCAAATAAGAGAAAGTCCACACTACTTATATGAAGGAGGCCTACTGAAAAAAGGCCTATATTGAAAACAAAGTAACTATCCAGACCCTGAGCTTCAGCTCCCCTGAAACTCTAGGATGGAAGTCTACTGCCTGTTACTAGAAAATAGCAACACAGATGACAATGAACAAACCCAGGCATTCACCAGATAAAATTATGAAGTGTTTCTAAAGTAGATGCCAAGTCACAAGAGTAGTTTCTTTAGTTTGATGCTCAGACACGGCAGCCCTCATCAGTTAGACTGGTGTGCATCTCTGACTTTGATATTTGTCATCAGTTTAGGGCAAGTATCCACAGGAAACGTGAGGATACTAGGAAGCAGAACAGCGGATCAACATTATGTCTTTTGCTCAAAATAGTCTCCATGGTCACAATATATCCTAGAAGAAAAGTAATGAGCCATGGATATGAATAACCAAGAACTATCCATCTTTAGATTTTTGTTTAATTAAAATATCCACTGGGTTTTAAATAACGAACACAAAAAGAGCCTGGATCGGAAGAGCTGTGCTTCCTCTTTTGCTAAGAACCAGAGAGCCATTCAATTTTCTTTAGAAACTATGTCTTCTTTGTGGCTGGAACTAAAAAATTCACTTGCCCATGTACCAGATGCAGAAGCCTTTCCTGCAACCAATGCCATTTTACTGTGGAAACTGACGAGGTGCCATGAAGACACAAATATTAAACCATAAGTCTTCTTTCTACCACATAAAGCAAATATGGTAAGAGACAAGGAAAGATAAAACCAAGGGAAGTGAATCATTACCAAGTGAGAACCTGCTAATCCAGAGAACTCTGGTTTTGATTTGAAGAAGAGATTGAATTGTTACCTCACACCTTAAAACAGAAAGTAGCAGCAGACCCACTATTACATACTGTACTAACAGGATAGGATACAACTCTTAGCTTTGCATAATCTGTGTAAAAAAGATATGCTTGACATTTGTGGAATGTCATTTCTCTTTATAGAATTATAGGCAAGATTTCTCCAATAAAACTTAACTTAAGCCAGTTATAAAACTATAACTTCACATCAAAATTTAAAAAAGTTAAAAAATGTGTTTGAATATGTACATATCACACAGGAGTGCTTGGATGTTCCTGCAGACTGTGCTGCTGGTCAGAGTCCAGTCTACTTTCCACCTTGAAAACTGGAATAGGCTGAGCCTTCAGCTCCTGCAGATTAAGCTCTGATGGAGATGGAAAAGACGATGGAGCAGCTGTCAAAACCTGCATCTCTGTGCATGTTTCCTCAGATTCAGTTTTTATTCTCACACACTGGGAGTCAACTTCTAATTCTCGCTTTCCAGGAAAACCGCAGTCCATGTTGGAATTGTTTTCTGTGTTTTGAGGGGCTTCCACAACAGGGTGGTACTGTTTAAGCCTGATATGCCAGGCTAAGCTACACACTGCTGACACTGTTTTGAACTGATGAATGACATTTCTAGGGATGAAGTAGATATCATTGTCGCAAAGCTGAATTCTAGCATAGCGAATTCCTTCTCGCCTCATTTGGTTTAGTTTTGCTTCATCCACCCACTGTACACACTAAAAAGAAAGGCAAAAGAAATTGCATGAGACCTTAAAATATGTAATGATTCAAACAAAATATTCTAATTCACACAGGAAAACAGTATGGCAAACTGTTCTAAAACAAAAATTAAATCTTAACAGGACAAAACTGTTGGGAAGCCCTTTTCAATCATATACTTTACAACTCTTAAAGACTGCGGAGATAGCCTATGGAATCATTAAATCCTTGAAAGTGCAGCTAAATATCAGTATCTTTTTTTTTTATCCCTCAAAACAGCGTTTCTCAGTGTATCCTTGGCTTTCCTGGAACTCACTCTGTAGACCAGGCTGGCCTAGAACTCAAGAGATCCACCTGTCTCTGCCTCCCAAGCTTTGGGATAAAAGACATGAGCATACCACTGCCAGCTATATCAGTATCTTTACCACACATAATCTTCCCCTTCATATATTCTAACATTTTGTAGTTGAGGCCGCAGCACAGTGAGATTATAAGGGAGACAGCTTATGGTCTGAAGTGAACAGCTGGATCCTTCTTTAGGCTCACCCTCCATCCCAAAGATTTTGCTCTCTACCACACACAGAATATAATAAAAATAAAGTTAAATTTACTGTCTGTGACTCCAATTATAAATTAAAATGCCTAATAAAATGGACTCAAATGCTGTTTCCAATGTATCACTGAAAGAATAATGAGAATGTGATAATTATTACCTGGGAAACTGGAGGTTCATGAAGGTCTAACTGGAGTCTCTGTACAACATCAGTAAAGTCCTCAGCATGGAAACAAATCACATCTTTGGTTATGCGAGGTTGGTCACTCCTAATATTAATAAGACAAAATTTAGGGACTAGCATCCACAATGGAAAACTACAATTTCACTTTTCCAGCTTCTACAATGCCACATTTAGCAAATGAGCAAATAAATAAAATGTCTCTTTTCTAAAGATTAAGAGTGTACTTCTTTAGTCAGTTTTCAAAAAATAAAAAATAAAAGTAAATCAATAGAAGGTTTTTAAAAGACAAAAATCAGGGCTAAAGAATGGCTCCGCGGTTAAGAGCACTGTCTACTCTTCAAAAGGACCTGGGTTCAATTCCTAGCACCCAAAGGCAGCTAACTGTCTGTAACTCCAGTTCCAGGGTTTCTGACACCCTCAGACAGACATGCATGCAGGCAAAACATCAATGCACATAAGTAGAGTTTAAAAAAAAAATGAGGTAAGTTGTTAAAAAAAAATTCAAGCAATAATCACTAAAAAAAAAAATAGTTTTATTCTAGCCTCACAGCCACCTTTCATGCTGGTGCAGACCAGAATCCCAGCACTTGGGGAGCTGAGGCCAAGAAGAAAGGATTTTAAGTTTGAGGCCAGCCTGACCTACATAACAAGTTCAAGGCAGTGCTGAGCTACACAATGAGACCCTGGATCAGAGAATTTGGGGGTTTTGTTTTGTTTTATTTTGTTTTTTAAGTTTTATTCTAAATGGGATGCATTTGTTGTTGTCTCATTAGGGAACTTGAGCTTTGTTATAATAAAACCAGGCTGTCACCAGGCAGTAGTGGCACACTCCTTTAATCCCAGTATTCAGGAAGCAGAGGCAGGTGGATCTCTGGGTTCAAAGCAAACCTGGTCTACAGAGTGAGTTCCAGGACAGCCAGGGCTACACATAGAAACCCTGTCTTGAAAAACCAAAATTAAAAATACTTTAAAAAATAAAAATATATATAATTCAAATATACAAATAAAACCAAGCTCTAGGTCAGTGTAACATGTACAGCCACTACAGAAAACAGTAAAGCAGTTCCTCAAAAATAATAAAATAGAATTGCCATATTATTAAGCAACTCTACTTCTGGGTATTGAACACCAGGGACATAAGAGATACATATATACCTATACTAACAATTAGAAAGCCAATGGTAGAAATAACCCAAGCACCTATTTAGTGGACTAACAAAATGGTATACATGAGTCTGTGTGCACGTGCATGCACATGTGTGTAAAATTTACTGTACCTACCTTAACAGGAAATAAAGTCTGATACTTGCTACAACATGGGTAAACTCTGAGGGATGTTATTATAATAGAAATGGCTGAGTTAGAAAAAGAAGAAAAAAACGGAACTGTCAAGATGCCTTATGAGCAATGGTGCCTACCACCAAGCCTAACTACCTGAGTTCAATCCCTAGGACCCAGGTGGAGAAAACCAACTTCTACAAGTTGTCTAATTGCTACACAACTGCTGTGGCACACACCTCTCACTCACAAAATAATAAATAGGTATATAAAAAATAATTTCCTTTTGTCACTGTGATTAATTTTATAACACATTAATATGTGTGTGTGTGCTTGTATATATGCATATACCAGTGTGTGGAGGTCAGAGTCCTAGGGACAGAACTTGGGTAGTCAGACCTAACAGAAAACACCTTTAGTCCAGTAAGCCATCTCACTGGCCCACTAGGATTACTTTTCTTAAAAGGAAAAGGGCAGGGGAAGTATGCCTCCATTTCTATGCAAAACCAGAAATGGCAGGAGACTACACAGTGATGGTTCCCACGATCTACATCCGGATGGTGAGGTAAAAGTAGCTGTGAGACATCAAGTTTCAGTTTTGCAAGACAAAAAGTTCTAGAGCATTGTTTTATCGTAGTATAGTTACACTTCTGTCATAAAAATGTTTAGATGGTAAGCTCTGTTATACATATTTCACCATGATCTAAAACTTTTAAACAGAATCCACGTTTTCTTAGACATTATCCAACCCTGTAGTTTGGGTCCTTTAACTTACCATTCACCAAATTGTACAGCCTTCAAAACCCCAACAGCAGCCGTACTCTGCCAGTCAAACCCCTGACCTACATGATCAGCATGAGCTCTTGTCCTGTCTTCAAAGAGGACTTCTCGGGGTTCACTTGTCCGAGGTAGGTACTGAAGATTTTTAATTTCATTCATTGATCTATAGTTGATTTGGTTGTGAAACAAAGCAAAGTATGAAGCAATAAACAGCAAAATTAACAGCAGTAATGTAAAAAGGTCTTTAACAATACTAGGCATAAATGAGGTTTGAGATGAGTCCAATGATTTAGATTTGCATTATACCATATACTATATAATACACTACATAAAATAATGACTATTATTTCCTCTTTCCCTAGACTATACCTTTATTAGGCTCACATGACAACTCTGAATGCATGAAATTTCTCTAAACAAGGACAGTGTGTTTAAAGGTTTAAAGCTCTAAGCTTTTTTGGCTTCAGCTCAGTTACTCATTTACAACTATCATAACATTCTACTAGGACTTATATTCCAGGCAGCAAACAGCATACATCTGATCTCCTCCCATATGAAAAGGAACTAATACAGACAGGAGAAGGAAAATGATTGTCATAGAGGGGAGTTTTGCAGTAGACATTCTGATGTGCAAGTTGGAGGCAGAGAACCAGAGAACGGGGAGGGGGGGGCGGGGGGGACGACACGGACGGACAGATGGACGGGACTGGCCTAGGGTGGCCTTTTGAAAATCCCAGTGACACATTTCCTCTTACAAACTACATGTTCTAATCCTTCTCAAAACAGTTTCATCAACTAAGGACCAAGCATTCAAATATATGAGCCTATGGGGCAGTTCGCATTCAAACTCCAGTCATGCCAGGCGATGGTGGCACACTCCTTTAATCTCAGCGCTCAGGAGGCAGAGGCAGGTGGATCTCTGTGAGTTTAAAGGCCAACCTGGTCAACAACAAGAGCTAGTTCCAGGACAGGCTCCAAAGCTACAGAAACCCAGTCTCGAAAAACAGTAACAATAACATCAAAGACCAGTATTGGCTTGCCTTCCTCAGTTTTTTTTTTTTTTTTTTTTTTTGTCCCTTATCATTACTGTGCCTGCCTCCTTTGATTCCAGTTTCTCCAATGTCTGTTGCCTTTTTGTCTGCACTAGCTGCTCTTCTAGAGGGTCTGGGGATTCAGTTCCCAGCACACACATGGCAACTCATAACTGTCTGTAAATTCAGTTCCAGAGGACCCAACACTCTCATACAGACACGAATCCAGGCAAAACACCAATGCATATAAAATAAAAACAAATTAAATAAATATATATTTAAATATTGGATGTCTGAAATTAAAAGGATATAATTTAAAAAGAAAAAGAAAAGGCACTTGAATCAAGAGTGTTATTCTTCAGCTAAAAGGAGTATGGGTGGGGGGAGAAGGGAGAGAGAGAGTAAAGGAAAGGGAGGGAGAGAGGGAGAAAGGAGTGGAGGGGATACACATACACTGAGCAAAGGAAATTAAGCATGTTAGAACTTCCAGAAATAAAAACAGACAGGACTCTCTAAAAGGACCTATCCAGTGGTAACAATAAATTGGAAAATGCATCTCCACACTCCAACTAAATTATCAATTAAAGTTAATGACAGAAAAAGAAAATAAAAGAATATGCTGACTCATCGTTATCTGCCATTTCTTAGAATGTTTCTTGAAAATGTGTTAAGTAAAGGAAATACACCTAGGAAGACAACAGCCACTGCTGGTGGAGTAAAGCCTCAGCTGGGTTTAGAGTTGTTTAATGAGCCTTCCACACTGGGCAGAACACAGACCTGTCTCCAAAGGTGCTCAAGATATAAATGGTATATACAAAAAAGCTTCAAGTTTATCTATCAGTAGCACTAGAGGCAGGGAAGGTTAGCAAATAGAGGGGATAAAGAGACTGGAAAAGGGAAACTATAGAATTAGATAATAATTCTACAGTTAGATTACACAAGTAAGTTCAATTAGATAGACCATTCTACAAGACTTTTCTATAGTGCAGTAAAGCGAATAATAAAATTTATTTGTTTCAACTTAACTAGAAGAGTGGAAAGATTTTCAACATAAAGAAATGAGAAGTGCGCTGAACATAGTGGACAGTGAGGACTACTGAGACCTCAAGAACAATGGCAATGGGTTTTTGATCCTACTGCACCTATTGGTTTTGTTGGAGCCTAGGCAGTTTGGATGCTCACCTTACTAACCTGGATGGAGGTGGGTGGTCCTTGGACTTCCCACAGGGCAGGGAACCCTGATTGCTCTTTGAGCTGACGAGGGAGGGGGACTTGATTGGGAGAGGGGGAGGGAAAGGGGAGGCGGCGGTGGGGAAGAGACAGAAATCTTCAATAGATAGATAGATAGATAGATAGATAGATAGATAGATAGATAGATAGATAGATAGATAAAAGAAATGAGAAGTGTTTGAGGGGATGGAAATGCTAATTACTCTGACTTGATCATTATATACATTACAGATATATACCAAATTATCACACAGGATTTTATATATATATGTATATATATAATTACTATACGTCCATTAAATATAAACAATAAAACTGATAGTATTATAGAAACTCTAGAAAGATCTCATGATTTGGAGGTGGAGATCTGGAGAAACAACTCTGTGCTTGCTGTGCATGACATGGCCACACTTGTGCATCTGCAACCCAATGCAGGGTGTAGAAAGGAGGACCACTGGACCTTGCTGGCCACTAGTCTAGCACCTTGTTCACTGAGAGACCCTGTCTCAAAGGAATACAATGAAGAGTAATAAATAAATCAGGACATTAAGCATCCTCCTTTGGTCAATGCTCATGCACAGGTAGGTGTTCCCCCTCACACAAACATGCACAGATATCATACACATACACAAAATGCATAAAGAGAAAAACAAAATACTTCATAATAGCTATATGTGGAAGTCACACAGATAGTTCCAGAAAAAATGTAAACTTTCCTAAGCTATATAAAAAAACTAGAAATTATACAGAATATACTCAACAGAAGTATATATCCTACCTCAAAAGGAATAATGATAAACTTTAGTGAAAACAAAATTTTAAAAAAGTATGACCCAAATATAAAACTAAATTGTGACATGAGAGAAAAATCTTTATGTTCCTCCTGTGAGTGCTAATACCAGGACTTAAATATAATTTTTAGCCTACCACATGAATCTTTAGTAATTACATCTTAAGTAAATATAAATGTCATTGCTATCTATCCAATTTTAGAATGTACCTACTGATAAAGCATTAAAAACCTAATGATGATTTTAAAGCAGAATAAATTAACTTCAATAATGTGTGAAGACAGCTGACAGAGCTGGAAGGAACGAGATAAAAGAGGTTTTGTCTAATTACTCAGAAAGTAGGTGAGAAAAAAGAATACCTATTTAGCATAGCATGTGTGCCACATTTTTAATCTTTTTCTCCTTTTTAAAATCAAGCATTCATTTCTCTTTGGAAATATACAGCAAAATGTATATAGTACTTAAGAATTTAGAATCTTAAGATCCATCACTATAATATATAAAAATTGTTGTAATCAGCTAGGCAGTGGTGGCGCACGCCTTTATTCCCAGCACTGGAGAGGCAGAGGCAGGCGGATCTCTGGGAGTTCAAGGCCAGCCTGGTCTATGGAGAGAGTTCCAGGACAAGCTCCAAAGCTACATGGAGAAACCCTGCCTCGAAAAATAAAAAGAATAAATAAATAAAAAATTTTTGCTATAATCTAATACTGTGCAAAACTTTTGATTAATTAATTATTGGGCTTTACATACTGCATTAATATATTGTGTTTGTGAGACAGGTCTCGTATATCCCAGACGGGCCTCAAACTCACTATGAAGTTGGAGATGTCTTTGAACTTCTGATTCTCCTGCCTCCAGCACACCTGAATAAGAGGACTGACTGCTAGGGGTGGAATCCAGGGTTTCCTGCATGCTCAGCAAGCAGTCTGAGCTACATTCCCAAATTTCATCTTCAAGTTTTTACCATGGTTTTCATGGATCATCTTAAGTGTCTTAAAAATATTTTATCATTTGGTAGTGTTCTCCTGTAAGTTTTAAGTTAAAGTTAAGACTAATCCATTAAAACTAATTTTGAGCTCTTGGGTTTTTGTTGTGTTTTTTAATATTGTTTATTTTGAGATAAGATCTCAATATGTAGCTCCCAGTAGCCTAGAACTCACTATGTAGATAAGGGTGACCTCAAACCCACAGAGCTCCACCTGCCTCTGTCTCTGAAGTTCTGGAATTAAAAGTATATGCCATCATGTCCAGCCTAATTTTAAACTGCTATTTCCATAGCCCAAGGGGATGTAAATTATTTTTAATCTCACTGAATAATATTTTCTAAAATAAAAGTAAATCTACATTTGTTTTATGTGTATGAAAGAGAAATATGTTAGCACATGATTTATCACAGCTCTATACAACGGTACACATTTCACTCAGCAACCATGGTTTCCTACAATGAATCATGATGACAAAGATAAATACAACAGTCCCTAACCTCAAAGAGGTCAAAATTAATTAAGAAACAAAAACAGTAAAAAGATCATCAAGGAACCATGTTGTAAGACCAAATTAGCTTGTCCTAAGCTTCATAAAAGTGACATTCAAGGTAAGTTCTGAAGCTTTACTAAAAACCTGCTAGGCAAAGAGGAAGGTGGGAGGGGGGTGAAATTCCAAATAGAAAGATCAGAACAAGAGCAAAGGGCAATGGAAGACAATGGTTTGGAAACTGAATTTAGTATAGTAGGAGAAAATGAAACAGATACAAAGGTTCTGTATTATCAAAGACTTTTACAGACCACACTAAGGAGGGTTTGCTCTTTTAACCCTATAGGCAGTTAGGATACAAGTTTTAAGAAAAATCAATTTCTCAGGAGACTGATGATTATGTAGCAGGTTATCTGAACTAGGAAAATGACAACTTGGAATTTTACCTAAAGGAACTCTTCAAAAATCTAGACAAGTTTCCAAACCATGCTCAGATGACGATCATTTTTATAAGCCACCCAATAAAAAGGATGGTTTTGTTTATTTGAGCAAAATTGATGTTTACTTACCGTCGTCTTTTGAAGGGTGACTTTGGCATATCTGCTGTAGGGATCATTTGCTCTCCTGGTCTCACCCACATTATAGGCCCATCATCACTCTGAGACCTACACTGTAGTTGGAGGCTAGAAAGTGTACCCCAGGGCAAAGTCATCTAGAAACCAAAGCAATGAGTCACATTTTAAAATTTTAAACTATTTACAGATTATTTCCATTCAAATAAAAATACTAAAAACCATATCTCATCTATATATGAAAAAGTAAAATCCGTATTTCAGAGTAACATATAAAAAACTGAAGTACTCAATACCAATACTTTTCTAAACAGTTCTTTGTCAACTAGTGCATAAAATTTGTTTTTAGTAAGCAAGAATAACTTAATACTCTAACACTTGAGTGTCTAATGATAACCAGAACATTAATAGTCTAAATAAACACCCACTTTTAGAAATGGTGATTCTTCTAACATATCAAGGAACTCGGGGAAGTAATCACCAACTTCTTCATCGACTGCTCCAACAAGACTTATCTGCCGCATCGGACCTGCTCGGTACGTACCACAGCAATACGTCCTGTTGACCTGGATAAATGAGAGAAAGGAACAAGGATTGAGATGCACTAGGAATGAGAACTGAGTACTGTTACCAGTATTAATTTCATCTACATACTGAGACTCAACGGTCAGTTCTTCCAACAAAGTTAACCATTGTAGTCACCCAATCATACTGTAAAGTCAGCCACAAACAGAAATTTTTTAACATGAAGGTTAGCCTAGAAGTTCAACACCTCAAAGGAAGACATTAAAACAGACTTTGCTAATAATAACTATTTAATATTGGAAACTAATTTTTTCTGAAGAGAAAAGACAGAATAAGCAATAAAACTAGCAGGACAAAGGGGGGTAAATGCCATAGCCACATTAATCCTTCATGCCCACTGTATATTCCTTAGCTTAAACTTTAGGAAAGATAGCAAGCTACCATGCTACTCTTAAGTTTACGTAATTCAAACAGCACAATATTAACAGCACCCAACTTACCCACAATTCAAAAATACACGTATCTAGGCCAACTGATAGGATGTGAATAAAGTAAAGCACCCTTTCCTGTCTGAAAAGAGAAAAGAAAGAAAACCTAAAGGGAAGATGGAGTGAAGAAAGGCAGAAGAGGAGAACTTGAGTATAACCAAGTTTATTTTCATTCACATAAAGAAAAGCTTCTTGGCTTATCAGGACCTTCTTATTTTATAAGGCTCACACTTTTCTGAGTACTAATGCTGACTTCAAATAACTGCCCAAAATTAATATTATTATATAGATTTTTACTTAGTGGCATAAGCATGATCAAGGAAGAAGATTAAAATTCTAGAACCAGGTTTTGTGCACTGTAATGTTTAGTCTATCTGGAAAATTGTAACCAAGTTAGCATAACTAGAGAAAGACTCTGGAACAACCACAGCCTTCCCACTTTATCTCTTTTTTTTTGTTTTGTTTTTTTTTTTGTTTTGTTTTTGTTTTTGTTTTTCCCCCACTTTATCTCTTAACACTAAATCAAGCCTCTGGCTTCACTTTACCTATGTTTATTTCTGAGTCTCAGCCCTCCTCTGGCTTTAAGTTTCTTTCAGATCTAGCTTAGACCTCAAGGTCTACCCTCATTCATATTCTATTCTAGTCCTTGCACCAGATGCCTAACAAGCCCTGAGTCTGAAACATTCAAAGCATCAGTTTTATCTCTGAACGCTTCCAGTCAGGAGCCAACAAATCCCTTGTCCCTTAAATCCACTTGTAATTGAGAATCCTACAATGTGTTACCAAATGTATCCAGGTATACCTTTCCCACATAAGCATACTGCTTCAGTAATATCTGTCTCTAGTTCCTTTTTTTTTTTTTTATCAATTCTCCTCACTTTTTAATTCACTTTTCTGATGGAGGAAGGTAACTGGTTAATTATAATAAACCAACTGCTTGGCCTCATAGCTTAGCACATAGGTGGGTGGAATAAACAGAATAGGATGCTGGGCGGAAGAGGAAGTGAGGTCAGACTCTGCTCTGCTTCCGGAGAGACTTGACAGCTCTGCTCTGGAGCAGAGACGCCATGCTTGCCATACTCCACTCTCCCGGGCAGATGCACGCAATGAAGCTCCTCCAACCCACGATGGACTTAGGCTAGAATCTTCCTGGTAAGCGCACCTTGGGGTGCTTACACACATTACTAGAAATGGGCTAGTCCAGGTGTGAGAATTAGCCTGTAAGAGCTAGAGTTCATGGGCCAAGCAGTTCTTTCAATGGATACAGTTTGTGTGTTGTTATTTTGGGCATGAGCTAGCCAAGCGGCCGGGGTGTTGGGGACGCAGCCCCGCCGCCCTTATTTCAACACTTTTCATGTCATTGCAATCTGGCTTCTGCTCGCCCAAAAACAGATCATTAATGACCCCCCCCACACACACACAGACAAATCACAGTGTTTTGTAGTCGTCTGTAGCCTCAGCTTCCTTCCAGGCACCCTTCTCTAGTTGCAGAGTTGGTCTATTTCTCTTTCCGAATTTATTGTACATACCCTGCTATATTCTGTATCTAATTCTCTAAATAAAACCTGTCCCTGGGAGTCAGCTCTGCAGGTACAACTTCTCTCAGTCAGACCGTGGACACTCAAACGCAGCACCTACAACATGGAGCACATTTTCTTCTAAGCTTTCCTTCTACTCCTACACTTGTTTGTTGAGAGGGAGGTGATAGTTCTATATTTGTTTCACCAAGCAATGCTAATCATTTTCTCAATTCCCGAATTAGGAATTATAAGCCCTTTTCCTCATCCCGTAAATAACAAATTTTATCCCTCTAAGTCATGCCTTAATGAAAGAAATAATCATTTCTTATCTAATTGCAAAAATCTCAAAATCACTGTCCTTACATGGGGTTTGCCATGAGCCATCCTACATGGTGCCTACAAATGATCTCCTAAGGAAAGGGTACTTTACCACTCAGCTTTCCTCTTTAAATGCTTCAAGCAGTTCCTTTAAGTTCAAAATCCTCATGAAGCCTTAGCTTCCTTCCAGGCACCCTCCTCTAGTTGCAGAGTTGGTCTATTTCTCTTTCCTAATTTATTATACATATCCTGTTATATTCTGTATCTAATTAAGTTCCTTGTATCTGATCAAGTTCCTTCTGATCTAGTATTCCAAAAGAACTGTATGATTTGCCACATTTTAATACACACTCTAACCTTTGCTGGCTTCCAATTTTCACATGGTATTATTGCCAATCATTATAATTTCAACTTATTCCTCTAGGTAAGTAAATAGGCCAATGAGAAGACAAATCTAAACAAGGTTTCCACTTAAAGAAATCAAGTGTATGAAATTTACAGGTATTAGACAAGTTGGATTTAAAGTCATAACTAGATTAAAATAATAACAACAATAAGAGATAAGAGCATTTGACTAACATGTGTAAGGGTAACACATCTAATACACCAGACTAGTCTAGCCACCTCTGCTTGTTTGGACCAGAGCCTCCAGGTTCTGGTCAGGACATAAGCCACCCATATAATCCTCCAGGCCATTCATAAGACATATTCCAACCTGTCTTCCCAGCCAGACTCTGCACAACTAGTACAGGGTCTTGCCAGGTGAGTCCACCCTCTACGTACTCTTCCCAAGCCCCAAATCTACCCCCAAACTCTGGATGCCAGCCCTGACCTCTGTGTCCACTTAACAACCTAAGCAATGCCCAATCTTTAGAATCAAAACAACCTACATATACTGTGTTCCAACCAACTGACCATATCAAATGCAGACAAAAGAAGCCCACAATACTAGAACTTCCAACAAAAATGCAAACAATATGAAAGATGGAGGCAGTATCCTTCTCTCCCCCAAGACCCACTAGTCCTATAGAAATGTTTGCCAATGAAATTTAACAAATTCAAGGAATTTAAAAAAACAAAAAACAGCTCAAGAGAATAAATATCTGAGTATATACTCAGTATATATATACATATATATCATATATTCACAGTATATATAATCAGTTTGTAAAAATTAATAACTTTTCTATACACCAATAACAAACACACAGAGAAAAAAAAATCATGTGAACACTCCAATTCAGAATAACCTCAAAGAAGATATATTAAAACCTAACCAAGGAAGTAAAGGACCTGTACAATGTAAACTTTAAACCTCTGAAGAAAGAGATAGAGAAAGATACTAGAAAATGGAAAGACACTGCTTACTCATGGGCTGGTAGAGTTACTGCTGTGAAAATGAGCATCCTGCCAAAAGTCATTTACAGATTCAATACAATCTCAATCAAAATCCCCATCTTATTATTCACAAAAATATTGAAAAAATACTAAAATTCAAATGGAACCACAAAGGACTATGGATAGCCAAAACAATCCTGAGCAAAATGAACAATGCTGGACGGATTACTACTCCAGGCCTCAAGAGATATTAAAAGCTATAGTAACAAAAACCAAAATGGCAACGACACAAAAACAAACATGAAGACCAATGGAACAAACCAAAGACCCAAACATTGAGTTTATATAAGTCATCTGATATTCGACAACGTTGCCAAATTAGAGAAAAGATAGCATCTTCAGTAAATGGTGCTAAGTGCTGGGATTAAAAGTGAGCAGTGGTGGTGCACACCTTTAATCCCGGTACTCAGGAGGCAGAGGCAGGCGATCTCAATGAGTTCGAAGTCAGCCTGGTCTACAAAGCAAGTTCCAAAACAGCCGGACTGTTACACAGAGAAACCCTGTCTCGAAAAACCAAAAAAAAAAATAAATTGTGCTAAGAATACTACATGTCCAAATGCAGAAGAATTAAGTCTGTATCTATCACCTTGCACAAAACTAACTCCAAATGCATCAAAGACTTAAATGTAAAACCGGAAGCACCGATACTGCTAGAGCAAACATAAGCAGTTCCTCACAGGATATAATTATAAGAAGGAATTCTCCAAATTAGAGCAGATTTGCCCAGAAACTGAGACCAACAACTGGTAACAGCACTTCTTAAAATTAAAAAGCTTCTGCATGGCTAAAGAAACAATCGAATACTAACTGTGAATGGTGACTGTAAGTTATGTGTATTACAGTACTGAACAGATTACAGAGTCTCCTTGTGTAAGGTTTCCCTTTAATACTATCTATTCACTATATTTTCTTCATTGACGATGCAGCAATAAAATTGAACAGTGTAAAAACATAAAAAAAAAAAAAGAAGCAATCGAATGAAGAGGAACCTCACAGAATGGGAGAGAATCTTGCCAACTATAGATATGTCGGAGAATTAATATCCAGATAACTAAACTAAATAAACAAACAAATGACCCTTTTTTAAAAAAATGAGCTTGGGGGTCTCTGAATGGTGTTCTCAGAAGGATAAAAATGGCTAAAATACATCTTAAAAAAATATTCATTGTCCCTAGCAGTAAGGAAAATGCAAATCAGAACAACTTTGAGACTTTATCTTACCCAAGTCAGCATAGCGAAGATCAACACAACCAACAACAAATACAGGAGAGAATGTGGGAAAGAGGGAAACCCTCATTTACTGTTAGTGGGATTGCA